TCTTTTTAATTTTCGCTGTCATTTTCATGAATGGACACTTCTTTGTATCTGAGGTAGGAAACATATCCTTATACGGTGTTTTTGGGGTGGTAATTATGCTAATCTCCTCTCGCGTGCACAAGCAGCTGGATAGAACAGGTGGAATTTATGCTCCTCATTTACACTTTTCCTGAAGATAGAAGAGTTTGTTGAATCTGATGTGACATGTTCGTACGAACCCTTTGTACRAACAAAAGTAAGAGAAATTTATGATAAGAATATGAACATGTTCTTACATGAGGCCCACTGTTCTTACCTTGACTCCTTGACTTTAACAATGAACATCACCTGGTTCTTYACCTCCACAGGACGGCATTATTTATCAGTCCCAATTGAAAATGTGTTTTTGTCTGTTTTCAAAAGCCGCTGTCTGAAAATTCACTGGAGCTGTAAGATATCGCCAGTTGCAGAGATGTTTAAAAAAAGTTGCAGAGGCAGAAGTCCACTACATTAGTATTTTTTCTCGTGTCTTCGTTTGTTGTCTTTCACAGATAGGTGGTCGAAGAATTCTTGACTGAAGACAGCAGGCACATCCTAGCCTGGCCCTTGCCTTCCTACTCAGCTCCGCTCAATTCGAGTTTCCCTTCTCTGCTCCGTCTGGGACTTCTCCCATTGAGATGGATTTCTCTGGCAGATTTTTAGCCGGGCCAATCAGAGAACAGAAAGTCAATTTTCTGTGCAGTGTCTGCTTGTAGTTTATTTTACCTGGGCCAATCAGAGAATAGAAGGAGGAGTTTTTGAATGACGTCGATGTTCTGTTCAGTGTCTGCTAGTTATTTTAGCATACGACAGTGGAGGAAGTGAATGAAGCCAGTCTGTGTTGATAAGGCTTCCAAATTAAAATAAATTTGTCTGACAAAACAGCATCTCTCATTTACAGTCGTCTCGTTTGGCTCAGTATATTTCTCCTCTCAGTATGGTTGTTTAGAGCACACGCGATTTCCTGTTAGCTTCTTAGCTTAGCCTCCGTCACAGCGACAACACACACATGCTTCAGCAGAGGCCACGCCTCCTACAAGAAACGATTCTCTATGGCTGTGTCCAAAACGGCAGGACGGGTCCTCCG